GTGGGATCGATACTCTACTTGCTAATATATTATCTATTCGATACGTATATTTGCATAGTAGAATTTTAACTGACAATTAGTTTTGGATTGCAATCACATTACATCCCTTGGTTGTAATGTGATTGCATTGCAATCTTACATTACAGTGGTTTGTTGCAAAACAAACATTACAATGTAATTTAATTGGACACATTACACGGAATGTGCTCTCACTTTCCTCATACCAAACACTACCTTATATCAATGAGGACATGTTCAAATTCAATGTTACTTTTGATAGTATAAGATGGTTGATTTTGCTCATATAATTGATTCATTTTATTTATGATCTAATTTTTTAAGGCTTGTTCATTACTATAGAATGAAGTAAGTCCTATTCTTGATCAAAAAAGGAAAAAGTTATAAAATTTGCATGCTTACTAAGATTACTAGGAATTCATGTCCTAAAGTTGAAAGATGTTCTAAAATGCTTGAATTGGTGCATAGGGATGTAAGTTATTTGCATAACATACCTTCAATAGGGGGAAAGAAATACTACGTGACATTCATTGATGATTATTCAAGATTTTGGTATGTTTATTGGATGTACTGAAAAGATCTAATCTTTAGGTAAGGTTAACATGCATAAAACTTAAAATTGAATTATATTCTAATACTAAAATCAAATTTTTAAGAACTAATAGAAGAGGTGAATACTATAATCGAAATTATTTTGAGTCCATTGGAATTGTTCATGAAACAGCAATGCCATATTTTCCCTAACCAAATGGTGTGGCCGAACCTAAAAATAGATTATTAATTGAAATGGTTAATGCCATGTTGTCTAATGCCAGTTTAGGACAAGGATTTTGAGGTGAAGCAATGTTGAAAGCATGTCATTTTCAAAATAAAGATCATCATAAAAGGAACAAAGTTACTCTATATGAGCTATGGAAAAAAAAAAAGAAAGAAAACCCAACTTAAGTTCTCAAAAGATTTGGGGTTCTAGAGCAATTGTAAGAGTTCCATAATATAAAAGAAATAAATTGAGAACAATAGGATTGAAGTGCATATTCATTGGCTATGAGCATGATAGTAAGGTATATAAATTCATGGTTATTGAAATTATTGATTTAATTGCAACTAATAGAGTCATCAAATAAAGGTATACCATCTTTTCAAAAAAAAATTTAAACCAATTCTTCAATCCAATGAAACTATTCAAAGAAGTTCATATGAACTCAAAATGAATTTTGTAGAAATTGAAGAGAATGAAGACCTTGTACTAAAAGAAGTAAAAGGTTAAAAAAGGCAAAAACATGTGGTTCCAGTTTCTTTATCTTTCTTATTGAAAGAACAAAGAAGGTTGCAAATAAACCTATAAAACATTGCTCCAATATGGAATCTAATCATACTATCTTTGATAAGGTAATGAAATCTCAAGATTTTGCATTTTGGAAAGAAGCTATAAAATATGAAATGGACTCAATCATGAGTATAATATTTGTATTCTAGTAGGCCTACCTCCAAGTTCCAAGTGGATATTCAAAAGGAAAATGAAAGTTGATAGAAAGACAACCGAGTTGATGGCTAGACTTGTTGTCAAGGGATTTACATAAATACATTGGAATTAATTATTTTGATAAATATACACTAGTAGTAAAAATTGATGCAATTATTAAAATGCTTATAGCATTGGCTTCAATATATAAATTAGTAATTCACTAAATGTATGTGAAAATCATATTTTTAAATAGTTATTTAGATGAAAAGGTGCACATGAACAACTTGAAGTGTTTGTGACTCCAAGGCAAAAAAATGAATGTGTAAATTAATCAAGTCCCTCATATGGACTTAAACTAGCTCTTTCATAATGGCATAACAAAATTGATGATGTAGTTCTAACAAATGGTTATAAGATTAATAAATCTGATAAATATGTCTATAGTAAGTTCAACAATAGAAAAATAAGTCATTGTTTGCTTATATATAAATGACATGTTAATTTCTTGAACCAATCTAGAACAAGTTGAAAATACCAAAAGGTTCTTGTCTAGCAACTTCACTATGAAAAATATGAATGTTGTGGATGTGATTTTGGAAATAAAAATATAATGGGTCAATCATAAATTAATTCTTTTTAATCTCAACATAGTGAAAAGATCCTAAAAAGAATAACTTCATGAACAATTAATCCTTTAATAAGCTAACGTTAGATCTGATCATCCACTCGTAATTAATTGTCATGAATGTAAAGTTTCAAATTAATATAATATTCATGTCAAATCGATTAATAATATTTTTTTTTCAGTATATACCTATATATGTAATTGTTATAGTTTTACTGTTATCAAATAAATATTGAAAAAATTTCAATTAATTTAAATTTTGACATGTATAATTTATGTGAGTAAAGCATGAAATCTGAAGATTAGATTAACAAAATATTAATCATACCAAAAAACCTCTTCATATATATATATTAGGCACACGTAACATAATTTGAATGCATAATGATAATCATAAAAGAATTGTTTTTGTTTTTAAGTTAATTTGATAAAAAAAATCAAATAAGGAGAATAAATTAGGACCCAAAAAATGTAACGTTTGGAAGTCGAAGGAAACCCACCTGAGATAAGGATACAAAGATTGGGCTTTGGACTTCATTTAGGTTTGGTTTTTGGGCCGGGCCTAAAGGAAAATGACTCTCAATTCAGATAAAATCGGTGTGTTTGGCAACAGCAAGCTTTGAGTTCCAGGATTAGGGTTTTTCATATTTAGGGTTGCCTTATAAGCTCGCCATAGCCTCATTTGCTACCTTACTTGGCCGACGACAGCAACTGAGCCAGTGTTAAAGAGACAAGGCGCCTCCGCGCAACAACCATGGTTCACGTCTCCTTTTACCGCAACTGTGAGCTCTCTCTCTCTCTCTCTCTCTCTCTCTCTCTCTCTCTCTCGCTCGTTAAAAAATCTTTCTTTGAACTTTGATCTGCTGTAGATGTTTTGTATAGATCTTATGTTACCTTTGGTCTTGTCTGTGTTGTAATTTTTTGGCCTAATAGCTTGTTGGCTTTTGCTGTTTGTGGGAAAAAGAATTTGGTTTTATTTTATTTGTGATTTCAGTTTAGATTTGCTTAGTAAATGGAGAGCTGATTAGGGGAGGGTAAAGGGGTTTCTTGGGTAGCTGATAAGCCAGATGGGAAAAGAAAAAAAAATGGAAATATGGGCATTAGGATATCTATTTTATTTTGTTGATCATGAAAAACAAATGGTGTTGCCTTTGTCCTAACAAAATCGACTCATTCGAGTGTTCAGAGCTGAAGTTTTTATGTTCGTTTGGTAAATAGTTTGTTGGTTTATGATTATTTTTTTCTCTCATTGTATGTAAAATCATGAATGATAACAGATGGGAAGACATTTAAGAAGCCTCGTCGTCCTTATGAAAAGGAGCGATTGGATGCTGAGCTGAGGCTAGTGGGAGAGTATGGGCTGCGATGCAAGAGGGAACTCTGGAGAGTTCAGTATGCTCTAAGCCGCATTCGAAATGCTGCAAGGGATCTTCTAACCCTTGATGAGAAGAACCCACGTCGGATCTTTGAGGGTGAGGCTCTTCTTCGCAGGATGAACCGATATGGGCTTTTGGATGAGAGCCAGAACAAGCTTGATTATGTCTTGGCCTTGACTGTGGAGAACTTCCTTGAGCGCCGCCTTCAAACTCTTGTGTTCAAGGCTGGAATGGCTAAGTCTATCCACCATGCCCGAGTGCTTATCAGGCAGAGGCATGTTAGGTGAGCTTATATAGTGTTTTGATGCAAGTTGAGCATGATTGCTATTGATTTCAACTGTTCACCATTATGTTTCTGATGTATTCTTTTTTCTGGATAATTACCTTTATAAGTTGCTTTTGCTTGATCCTGTATGACTACTAACTGGTTAAACTGTAAAATAAAAAAGATTTGGTAGTAAAATATGGGTTGGTATATCTTTTGATATAGGAAGTACGCAAGACAAATTGCTCACTTTTTCTTTTGAAGGGGGACAATTTTTTGCCTCTATTACTTGAATATTGGATAAATATTGGGGCAATCTCCTGTGTTTTATTGCTTCTAGTTCTGCATACTGCAATAAGATTGTAGCTTTATTGTATTGACTTTTTTTTAATGATCAAGGTGTAGACATTAGAAAGCTTTAGCTCTATTTTCTTGATAGATTACTCAATCCTATTCAATTTTTGTATGTACGAACATAAATATTTTTGTTTTTATTTGATGTGTTATCTAGTTGGTTTATCCAATTTTGTTCAATTCTTTTCTGTTGTGATTATATTGCAGTATAATTATCATTTGTCCATCAATAATTCAATAGTCTGCTCAATTTTTTTCTGGCTGTACAGGGTTGGCAGGCAGGTAGTCAACATTCCTTCATTTATGGTGAGGGTTGATTCACAAAAGCACATTGATTTCTCTCTCACTAGTCCATTTGGTGGTGGTCGTCCTGGAAGAGTAAAGAGAAGGAATCAGAGGGCAGCTGCCAAGAAGGCTGCTGGTGGAGATGGAGATGAAGAAGATGAAGAATGAGTAATGGGGTTTGATCTTTTTGCGGATAGTTATAGTAGGACTATCTCATCTAAGCTAGTTTTACATGACTTGAAAAGTGATGTCTTGCTGTTTATTTGGATGAAATTTTGATTGCTATATTTTGGACATCTTGTTTTACCGAATTTTGTTTTAGCTTCCAAGATAATGTGGCTCCGTTTTTTTATTACTTGCATACAAGATTATCTTTCCCTAGCTTGAAGAATCTGAATGTGATGTTAAATTGTAGTTTCTCTCCAAAGTGGGGCAACCATTAGTTTTAGAGCTAGGGGATTTTCCAAGATGAAAATGTTATTTATGAGCCAATTGAGATTTCCGCAAACTGAGTATGATGCAGTAGCAGGGAGGCATGTGATGTTGTAACTTAAGTAGTGAATTGATGATGACTCTGTCTACCTAGCTTATCGATTTTGGGATTGAATTAGCCAAAGTATTCCGTTGCAATTCTATATCATAAAATGTCAAAAAATAAAAATTCCCATGGCTGGCTGGTTGTTCGGAATTTGTCTGTGCACGCAGAGCTGTTGTTGACCAGCAGCTGCTGCCCGCTGGATTAAAACTCCGCGTAAATGCTTTATGGAAAACTTTGGTCAAATCATATTTGCCCAAAGCATCATTTCCTCCCAATCAACAGATCCATTGCCATTCAAACCCCAAAACAGGCAGCGCCCTTTATGTCCCGACCCTATCATCAGAACAAAGCAGGGCAGGAGAACCTCACCATGGATTCCGTGAACTTCTTCAGAGGCTACGACAAAGTAAGCCGCCTCGAAAACCAAAACCCATCCCAAAAACCTGTCTCGACCGCCATAACCATCTCTGCCATCCTCATCCTCACTTTGGTCATCGGCTTAACACTAGCTGCGTTGATGCTGGAACCCATCAAAGCACCAGCTGGCACAGCCTCACCCTCACTTTCTTCTAACTCGGATGAGTCTATCAGGACGATCTGCAACGTGACTCGGTTGCCTGAGTCCTGTTTCACCACTCTATCTTCTCTCAGCGCCTCTACCAAGCCTGACCCAGAAAGCATCCTTCACCTCTCTCTCCAAGTGGCCATCAACCATCTCTCAAACCTCTCTTCATCACTCAAATCCCTCAATGATCTCTACTCTCAGCCTGCTTTAAAGGACTGCGTGACCCTGTTTGATGACGCACTGAATCGACTCAATGATTCAGTGTCGGCAATGCAGGTGGGTTCTGGGAAGGAGCTAGTTTTGACTAAGGAGAAGATTAGCGATATCCAAACTTGGATTAGTGCTGCAATGTCTGATCAGGAAACGTGTAATGATGGTTTGCAAGAGATGGGATCGACGGTTGCTGATAAAGTCAAATCTCAAGTTCAAAGCTCTAAAGAGTCTATTAGTAATAGCTTGGCAATTGTTGCTAATATGCAAAACCTCCTACAGAAGTTTGGTCTCATCATGCACTGAGTTTTTGGGTTAATCTTCCTTTTTGTTTTTTTTTTTGCCTCATTATGCTAGGTTAGGTTGTTTTGCTCTAAGTTTCTTTGTCATAATATGTGGGGTTATTGTTTTGCATTTGTAAGGTGATGCAAATATAATTGTGCAAATTTTACTGCTATAAAGATTTTTGCTATCCAAAATTGGGTCTTGAAATTTATTTTAAATTGTTGCTCATCTTATGAATTTTAATGGGTCTTAGAACTTTGCTGCTGTTTCCTTTGAGTTTCCTATGACATCACACTGCTAATCATAGAGATGCTCTTCTGTCTCAAATTTGCTAATGATATTGCCAGAAGCATGTTGGGATGTCCCCCTGATGATAGAAACTGGAATTGCTCTGGAAATTTCCTGCTATTGATTGACAAAAATTCTTTCTTTGGCTTGCTTCTCGCATTGTTTTGACTACGCATGTGATTTATGTCTTTGATAGTTGATAGTTGATAGTTGATAGTTGATAGTTGATAGTTTATAGTTCTGAAGATGCCCAGAATGTCTTGAGGGGTAGTACTCTAGCCCCGACTGTCTGGTCTTCTCTTGGTGACTCTCTAGTGCCATTATTCTTTGGACAAAACAACTCTTTGGCTTGGCTTGAATCAGATTGTCGTTGCGCTTTCTGATCTTCTTGGAATCTGATTTGAATTTCTTGATGGTACTACCTTTGGAAAGCAGGAAACATAAGCCTTTTTGAAGGAAAACTGCCTGATGCTATAAGCATTCTTAAGTCCTCTCTTAATATTGCTGGAAATCTTGAAAAAGGATAGTCTTCCTACAAATTTGCTAAATGAAATCAGACGGATCTTCTTCAAGTAGTCCAGAGCTTGCAGGTTCTGGAGGAATAATCAGAGATGATTTTGATTTTTGGGGAGATGATAAAGGGTTATCACATGAGGTTTGGGATTAGCACGTTGTCTACCAGCTGAGCTATGACTATGGGGTTAAGCAATGGGCTTTCCATAGCCGAAAGTCTTTTGCATCACTTTTCTGAAAGTCGAAGTGGATAGGACGTTAATTGCAGTTATAGACTTGATTTAAAAACCTAATGTGTAATCCTATAACCCTTTTAGGGAATTATCACTTCCAAAAAAGAAGATATCAATGTGGACACTCGCCCCTTTTATATTCTAATTGCTTATTGTAGATGCTTAAATTGTCAATTACAGAGCACATAGCCACTTCTTTGTAGAAGAAATGATGCAGCTGATCTTCTAGCCAGAACAGAAAACAGTTAATTTCACGAAGTTCCCTTTTAAGGCAAAATTGGTTAAAATAAATCAATTCTAAACTATTGCTAATGTCAAGCCAGTATTGTGTGAAGGTGGCGGAATTAGAGTCTTGTTCAGATCGGTTGCTTCCATTTCTATTAGATAGTGCTTACGTTTATCAGGCAGACAAATCCAGTTGATCTATGACTACGGCAATCATCAATCTTGGTCTGAGCGTTAATTTTGGAGAAAGAGATTTTGGTTTGAGGCCCAACTGGCCAAATCCAGTAGATTTTTCATAAATATACAAAAAAAAGAAGGGGTTAGTATGGTCAAAAACTTCAAGGCAGCAGCAGCAACTGTTTGAGTGAGAAATGGAGCAGAAATAGGGTCTTCTTCAGATGTGTAGCTTCTGTTTCTACTAAAATTTTTTTAGAATTTTAACGCCAGGTGTATGTAGTGGATCTTCTCCGATCATCATTATTAACCTCAACTTTAATTTTAAGTTTCTGATAAGGCCTCAAAAGTAGCCACTGAGAAAAAGGAACAAAATCCCACATTGATGTTTAATGAATATTCCACTTTGTTTATATACAGCATAAGGGGCATCCAGCATCGCCGAGTTTGGTTGCGCAAGCTTGTGACCCAAGTGGGGGCATCATGGTGATGGGACGTTGGTTTAGCTTGCTGAGTCGGATCCTCAGTGGTCGATTATCTGGCCTGTCCATTCCAAGCGAAGAGTTGGGCCATGGGATTTGAGCGAAGGCTCTGGGTCTCGTGGTTCTTAGAGTGGAGGACCGCGTGTGAGGCTGGATTCACAGAGAAGACTTCCCGCTCTTGCAGTGGAAGGATAACAGGCCGGTGCCGCTTGGATCCAAAATGGCTCTGTGGGCTGATCTTAGCTGAACCATCATCATTTTTCCTGATAATTTTTTAACTTTATTTTACTCAAATTTTAGCCCTGGCTTTTACTGTTCACATGCCTGGACAATGTGTGATTGGATGGAATTTATCACATTTATGGCTTGTACTTGGCCATTTGTGCATAATCATTCAAAATCATTTTTGAAGAGATTCAAAATCGCATTGATGCTTTAGAAAGTTAAAACTCAAGAATAGTAGTCCTTGAAACGCCAACATAGCAAACTCATTCAATAGATATGGTAAATCAACAAACAAATTCAAACGATTCTGATAATCAACAAATTAGCAAAATGGTTTGAAAAGAATCTAAAAAACTCTTTTACTCAAGTGGAGGGCACCGCGTGAGGCTGGATTCACAAAGCAGCGAAGACTTCCCGCTCTTTGCAGTGGAAGGATAACAGACTGGTGCCGCTTGGATCCAAAATGGCTCTGTGGGCTGATCCTAGCTGAACCATCATCATTTTTCTTGATAATTTTTTAACTTTATTTTACTCAAATTTTAGCCTGGCTTTTACTGTTCACATGCATGGACAATGTGTGATTGGATGGAATTTATCACATTTATGGCTTGTACTTGGCCATTTGTGCATAATCATTCAAAATCATTTTTGAAGAGATTCAAAATCGCATTGATGCTTTAGAAAGTTAAAACTCAAGAATAGTAGTCCTTGAAACGCCAACATAGCAAACTCATTCAATAGATATGGTAAATCAACAAACAAATTCAAATGATTCTGATAATCAACAAATTAGCAAAATGGTTTGAAAAGAATCTAAAAAACTCTTTTACTCAAAAGTTGCAACATTTGATTTAGATATAGAGGAAAAACCAAATGTTAACACAATTTATGTGTAGAACATTGATGAAATGTCTGAATATAACATCATTAATACACTCCCAAAACCTCTCGAGTTCTTCAAAATCAGATATATAAATCTTCAACTTTTCACAACTTACACTTAAACTCTTTCTGCGGAGATCTAATCAAAACTGAAAAAAGAAGATACCCATTGAAAATCAATATGAAAACATTCACCTTTTGGATCAAGAAACAATTGAAAAACCTAAACATCAAGAATATAATTATATTCATTTGGATTAGTACAAATAGAAGAAGTGGCAAACTATTAGAGGAGAAGTTGAATCTCAACATCCTCCTTTGACTGAAGTTCAATATTCACATAAAAATGCAGGAATAAGAGCAACCCCATTATGAATGAGAGCTTCTGATCTAGGAGAAACTATTTGCTCTAGAGTATTCTGTAACATTATTACTAATGCAGAAATTTGCAATAATGGAATCAAATTTAAAATACCTTTTTTGATGGTGAAAAACATAACCCAAGAAGTCATATTAGGTACTCCATTCATATCATTACTAAAACCATATAAGGTTACAAACCAAGCAATTACCACTAAATTATTAAAAACTAAAACAACCTTTCCTTTCATACAAAAACCAAAAATAAAAGATCTAAATTTACTAAAATCCTTGTCAATTCAAACAAATCAACTCAATTCTTTAATATAGTATAAACAAAACAAATTGCATACTTAAAAGAAGAAATTTCTTTTGAAAGAATAAACAAACAGTTAACCAGTAAACTTATCCAACAAATAAAAAAAGAAATAGAAAAAATAATATTTTCTGATATTCCCAATGCTTTTTTGGATAGGAGAAAACATGAAGTAGTATTACCTTACCAAAAAGATTTTGATGAAAAACAGATTCTTACAAAAGCACGACCAATTCAAATAAACAAAAAAATGAAAGAATTCTGCAAAAAAGAAATCCTAGATCTACTAAATAAAAAACTAATAAGGAAAAGTACACCTTGGAGCTATTCTGTTTTCGATGTTATAAAAAATGCAGAATTAGAAAGAAGAGTACCAAGATTAGTGATCAATCACAAACCGCTAAATAAAGCATTAGAATGGATCAGATATCTAATTCGACACAAAAAGGATCTCTTACAAAAACTCTGTAATGCAAACATTTTCTTAAAATTTGATATGAAATCAGAATTTTGGTGGATCCAGATTAGAGAAGAAGAATGAGATAAGATAGCATTTATTGTTCTTTTTGGATAGTATGAATGGAATCTTATGCCTTTTGGCCTGAAAAATGCATTGTCAAAATTCCAAAGAATAATGAACGAAATATTTACCTTATATTCTCAATTCACTATTGTTTATATAGATAATGTTTAAATATTCTCAAACAATTTAGAGAAACACTTTAAACATCTCAAAATTTTCATCAATGTTATTTAAAAGAATGGACTAGTAGACTCTAAATCCAAGATTAGTCTGTTCCAAACCAAAATTAGATTCCTATGTCATTATGTGACTCAAGGAACCATAACACCAATAGAGAGATCCATAAAATTCGTAGATAAATTTCCTGACAAAACCTTACATAAAACTCAACTTCAAAGGTTCCTAGGAAGCCTCAATTAAGTCATTGATTTTTATCCAGGTCTTAGCAAAATATGTAAACCCCTGCATGAGAGACGTAAAAAGAATCCAACATCCAAGACTCATAACCTTAGTGACCTAGTTAAACAAATTAAAAAGCATATTAAAGAACTCCCTTGCTTACATTTCGCATATTCGAAATACTCCAAAAATAGCATAAATAGATGCCTCTGACATAAGATATGGGGGGATCCTCAAACAACTCAAGAACCAAAAGGAACAAATAGTCCAATTTACTTCCAAACATTGGACTCCTACGTAGCAAAATTATAATATTATCAAAAATGAAATTTTATCAATAGTTTTGTGTATTTCAAAATTCTAAAGTGATTTACTCAATCAAAAATTTCTTTTACGAATTGATTGCAAATCAGCTAAAGAAGTTTTACAAAAAGATGTTCAAAATATAGCATCAAAACAATTTTTTTTTCAAATTGCAAGCCATTTTAAGCATATTCGACGTTGATATAGAATATATCAAAGGAGAATCAAACTCTTTACCGGATTTTTTTTCTAGAGAATTTTTATAAGGGAA